ATGTTTGTTCAGATGCTCATCAGTTGATACTAACTTTTAAAAAATCCATGTTATCTTTTTAGAGATTTTGAATAAGTATATGAATCTTGGAAGCCTTTGATTCTAAGAAAAGTTCCAGATTGGATAAAAATTGAAGAAAATTTTCATAGGTAGTCCAGAAATAACCATCATGGTTGAACAGCCTATGTAACAGTGAATGTGACAGGGCAGTTCAAGAAGATGATAAACAAAATCGTTCTTTTTTCCTGCCACTATCCAGCGCAGCATTTTCAAACTCCTCCTCTAACTCATAGTTTTCAACTAATGTAGCTCAAAAGTAGTCCTAACTTTAGCTTTAGACCTATCTGAAAGAAAGGATAATCCTTCAAGCATAGTATCCCGTAATGCACACTCATTCATACCCATTCAAATGTAGCTGTCAGATGAGCTTACACGAGCCCTATGAGTTTAGGAAAGTACTTTACATCATTGCTTTTTTTTCCCTTAAAAATGTAAATGATTGTGAAAATTTAAGGGCTACATAGAATAATCTCTTTCCTTTAATCCATTTCTGCTAAGGAGGAGGGGAAGGAAAGAAAAGCACAAAAAGGTGCTCAGTTGAATATTTTTCAGTAAAACCTAGGATCACTGAATGACTAAGGGTATAAGGGACCTCTGGAGGTGTTCTTGTCCAGCTTCCCCGTTCAAGCTGGATACTTTGTGCACTGTATGCAATTATTATTTTCTTGCACAAGCAGTTGAATATATATGTTGTGATTCTGTAAGAGTACAGAGAACTTGTCACGTGAAAGGATACACATTCTCAATATATGAATGATGCATATAAAGTGCCTGTTTGTGCAGAAGCAATAGCTGTAGTTTTCTGTGGACTAATTTTACCAGTACGTTGTACACATTTAGATGGTGGTTCTCACTCTAATGCTTCCCATTAGAGACCTAAACTCCTAAAAATAATTCACCCTGAATTTAAATTTGAGTGTCCACAAAGCTTATCTTTCTATTTATTTCTCTTCACTGGAAAATTTTGCTTTACTTGCCAAAGTTTTTCATTGCTCTTTCCTATTATTTAATTAACTTATATATTTAAATGTTCATATATATTGAAAATGTTCAATTATGTTACTAAAAATTAAAAGTACAATTTATTGAATAAATGAGAATTTTTAAATTGCCAATACTTTCCATGAGGTTTATAGAATCTTGCTTAATTTCTTTATTGCATTGCTGAAAGTTTTATAATCTTATTTTTATAACATTATTCATTGATAACATCTTAACTGAAGGAGTGAATGAGTAAAGTGACTCTGTTTAAAGTTGGCAGTTTCCTTCATTTTCATGACATGGTGTATTATATGTGTCACATTTAATATAATAAAAAGCACATTATTTTAAATATAGCATATTTTTGACAAATTATAATGAAAATTCCCAGAACTATGGAATTTACACTTTTTTTTTTTTTTTCAATCAGCATTTTAAAAGTCTCCACTCTAAATAGATCACTAAGTAGATAATAAACCCCTCCAAAATAATGTTAGAATCTATTTCACCCATGTTGATATTGAATTAGTGTGGTTTAAAATGTGTCCTTTCAAAGTGGAAAAGAAATACTACATGTATAAATATGTTATTGTGGTACAGCAGAAAGTGGAACTAGTATTTTGATGCCATTTGGTACATAATGGAACATTGTAAAAAATCCATTTAAAATCATTGCAACTTATAATGTATTTTGCATTTTTATTTATTTATTTTTTTAAAGAATTGTTACAGTAAAGCTAATCCCAACTTATTTAAGGGCAAAACTTTTTGATAACAAATTTTTCAAATTTGGTTGAAGGCTGTATATAGTATGACATTAGCATTTAATCTAGTCAAAAAAGTTGGTACTTCTGTTGATATCATATGATACTAATCCAAAATCTTACATTATTGTAATACCATAAGTATATTAGGATATGATTTTTGAAAGCAGTCATTACAGCTCTAAGCTTTCTTTAATAGTAATTGGCATTAGTTTTACAACCGACTTCTGTGGGCAAACCAATACAAAGTCTCAGTAATTTAAGAAAGAACAAAATGAAACTGAATATAAAGTTGTTTAAAAGATGATTTTATGTAGCTTGATCAGTATAAACAGATATTCATATCCAATTTCTGCCTATCTTCACAAGAGAAAGGGACACAAAGAGCCTAAGGATGCTGATGCCAGCAATGTTCCACACTCCACAATGCTGCAGGATGTGGCTGTATTCTTGTCACTCTTTTTGGTGTGGGAGATAAAGGAAAGAAATACAATGTTTGGAGGAATATTGCCAATCATAAGAAATCAAACTTTGAAATGTGAAACAGAAATCGACATGAATTGCAAGTAGGAAAATTAGGACAAGTAGGGCAGTAGGAAGGATGGGGAATGCTAAATGAAAAGTCAATGTATCAACCATAAAGAAATAGAAAAACATGCAACAGTCATATATTTAAGTATCAGATGTGTCACAAATACTGAGCCGAGAAATTAAAAACAGTCTTCTCCACAACTGTGACAATAAATATGATTGTCTTTTTTTACAAAGGAGCAATACTGTTACTATAAACATATCCTTCACTTGGTGGTGAAAGTATTGTGTAGGCTTTTGTGTCATTAAATCACTTTTTAACCCAACGCCATGTTCCATTGACACAGGAAATGCTCTTTACATCAATTAAAAAATTATCAGCACAATTTATCTCCACAGGGAAAAGACCTGTTAATGTTAATGCTGCATTAAAAAAAAAAAAAAAAAAAAAAAAAGGAAAAAAAAAAAAACAGTAGAAATAAAATACAGCAGTAAAATCAACACTAAATCCCTCTGAATATATGTAATAAAAGACCACTTTAGTTTTTCTCCTCCACGTTTCTATTTAGTGGCTAAGGAGGTACAAAGAACAGAAGCTTGTGTGTATAAGATCCCTAGAAATAAACTCTGTTGGTTCTACTGGCATATTTGTTGAAACACAAGAGCATTTCAATAAACTGGGATTAAGTATCTATTTGTAGATACCTGAAAATTCAGTTTGATAAACACAAATGACTGAATTTTTATAAAAGAAGTCATCAGTTAGATGGGTGGCTGTGGTAAGTTTTGGAAGATGTATCAGAAGGTAATATTTAACTAGGAATGTTGATATTAAAAAAAGTAAGAAAATGAATTTGTGTGAAATATCAACTTACAACATTGCTGATGGAGTAATGCATGAATGATATATCATTTCATTGCAGCACCATTATTTTAGTTATTTAAATACTGTTCCTTAAGCCTTTTTGAAGAAAGGAGAATAACTTGAAATAATCTAGTAACTCCAGAAGTAATTGAAGTAATTTCATAGAAACCTGTCTATTCAATCACCCATCTAAATATACATATTGATTGCTGGCTTCTTGCATAATGCCATTCTGAAGAACAGTTCAGTAATAAAACAACCCATACAGTAGGCAATGAAATTGATTGCATAAAAAGTAAAATGTTCCCCTCCTTTTGAAAAAGTGTTTTTTACCTTTCCATTTAAGATTTCTATCAAATAGACTAAGAACGCATATATTTCTACTAGTATTCATTGATTTAGAAGTCATTAAGAAAATCATTTTCAATTATATTTGAAAGGGCAAATACGTATTTTCTTAAATATTAGCTAAGCAAAAGTATAAAAACTGAAATGATGTTCTTATTCTGAACAGTCAGCAATGTATCATGGAGTTTGAAGAGAGAGAAAAAGGACGATAGCAGTTACCCTGTTAAAACATTTATATTACATTATACTATGTTTTTCCATCTGTCTGTTAAGACAGTACTCAAGCAATCTACAGTAGAAAAAGTCTTGTTCTTATTTTGGAACAGGCATAAATAGAGCTGCAAATGGAAATACACCACTGCACTGCTGACTCATACATCACTCCCAAGACACCAAGCAATGCTGATGTGCAACACCAATGTGAAAAAAAAAAAAAAAAGGCCACAGTTTCCCCCTCCCCTGTGCTGTTGGCTCAGGACATAGCATCACACCAGGCAATTGTCATTAGCCAGTTTCTGGGCTAGACTGACACCTTGAACTAGCCAGGCCCATGTACCATTATGGAGTTGTCTTTTTTCCCCTGAATTACTGGTCAGATACAAGTTGTCACTTTTATAAGGGTCATCTGAGTTTATAAACACAATAGCTGTTGTTCTTCTAAGAGTCACAGTATTCAAAACACATCATCGTCTATTACAGAAACACTGAGATGAAATGTTAAAATATCTTTTCTGAGATTTGTAATGAAGTAAAATTACCTAAGCAGCTTTAAAAATACAAGTACAGAAAGCAAGATCAAGTGTGGAATACATTTATTTTGAAGTACATGAAAGTATTTCAATGTTCTGAACTACAGAAGATGAGGTCCTGGCCCTATAACCATTTAATAATATGCCTAGTTTTCCTCACACTAATTTATTTAAGACAGTATGCAACTGTTTGCAGACTATTAGCCCAAAAAAATTCTTCTCTGACTTTTTCATTCTACTGTAATTTAAAAAATTACCTTTACAAGAATAAATACTGTTTTAGTACTCTCTTAAACCTTTCAGTAATTCTGCTTAGCACCATGTCTAATTAATTACATTTGAAATGTGGAAGATGACAACTTACATCAACTATTACTATCATTTAAATGTTTTTCTTCAGCTGCATACTGACCTACTACTCAGTCTTGGAATGTTAAATTATGATATTATTTGTTATTAAATAGTTTGATTTATGGTTTGTGACCATATTGGAATTTTGGCAATGGAAAAAATACTAAAGGTGGGTCTTGATTTTTTAATCAGATTATATACATGCTTAATTTTCAGGACTGTTTCCACTGGCTTCTGAATGGCATATTCATAAACATCTTTTAGCCTCCTGATCTGTGACTTGAAAACTTTAGAAAATGTTATTCTTTGGAATTAATGTTATTAATAAATTCTCACTTTCTTTCTTTCAAGATACTCTTTTTAACGGTCTTGGACTTCGTGCCGTCATTGGCCTGGGAGTGGCAGCCCTTTTGTTAATCCTTGTGGTGATTGATGTCAGCTGCTTCTTTTTACGACAATGTGGATTGCTAATGTGCATTACCAGGAGGATTTGTGGGAAAAAGAGTGGTTCAAGTGGAAAAAGCAAAGAACTGGAAGAAGGAAAGGCTGCTTACCTGTGAGTATTAATTACTTATTTTAGAAACATTATTAGAAGAGAAACCTGGCTGTTCAACTCATATTTGCTTAATGGCTATCTTGCAGTTTGTCATTAAAGTTTCTATTACTTGGAAAAGCGTTCCCTGAAATGTATTGAATTGCTTTTGAACAAATGTTGCCTTAAAGTTAAAAAAACAACAACAACAAAAAAAAAAAGACAAAGAAAAGAGTATAGACCATACTTCATTTTAAGATGGCCTGTTTGTGCAGTTTGTGCTACTCTGACACAAAATAAAATCAACCACAGTTCAGTAATAGATACAGGCATATCTTGGGCTCATGAAAAACAGGTAAAAGAGCATCATAACTTCATTTCTACATTTCTACCAATCCAGCATTCTACCAGCTGCTAACACCAAAAAACTCAGCATACGGTTGCGGCATTGCCAGTAAATCTGAGAGTTTTTTGGAAAATATGTGAAATAGTTTTTCTTCTCGAATATAGCTATTGCTGGAAAATCTTGGGTTTTGTCTGTAGAGTTTTGGAATTACAAGTATTGTTTGCTTTTAAAAATAGAAGTGCTAAGATGGACGTGGCTGAAATGCAGGTACGCGTAATTGTTCTTCATAGCAACAATTAATGTTTGCTAAAAGTAAGTGGGGAAGAACAACCCCAGTTCTCACAAATGCCCTCGTATAGTGGCTACTTCATCATACAAATGGGAATTGAATGGTCATTTATGGACAAGTATGTTTCCTTAAATGATAGCAAGATCCTGACAAAACAGTTCAAGTACTGATTGTGTAAAATAATAGTGCTTTTAAGACCCAACATTTACAGGGTGTCCTGGTTTCAGTTAGAACAGAATTAATTTTCTTCCTAGTAGCTGGTGGAATGCTGTGTTTTGGCTTAGGATGAGAAGAGTGCTGATAACACCCCGATGCTTTAATTGTTGCAGAGCAGTGCTTATACTAAGCCAAGGACATCTCAGCCTTTTGCTCTGCCCTGCCAACGGGCAGGCTGGGGGTGCAGTAAGAGCTGGGAGGGGACAGACCTGGGACAGGTGACCCAAACTAGCCAAAGGGGTATTCCATACCATCTGACGTCATGCTAAACAATATATAGGGGTGGCTAGCCGGGGGGAGGGGGCCGGACTGCTCGGGGTTAGGCTGGGCATCGGTCAGCGGGTGGTGAGCAATTGCATTGTGCATCACTTGTTTGTACATATTGTTATTACTTTCCTATTATCACCATTGTATCATTATTATTATTGTTATTATTATTTTTGTTATTATTATTTTCCTGTCTTATTAAACTGTCTTTATTTCAACTCACGGGCTTCACTTCCCATTTCTCTCCCCCGTCCCAGAGAGGGAGGGGGGAGGGTGAGCGAACGGCTGCGTGGTGTTTAGCTGCCAGCCGGGTTAAACCACGACACAGGGTTTTCAAAAGATAAGATGGAAAGATTACTTATGGCTTCTCATTTTAGGCAGTTCCATTTATTTACTAAATATGTCAGCTTTGTGTCCTTATTATGCTCATCTAAAGGATTTTTAATGCATACACTGTAGTATTTGAGAGTGCTGTGTTTTGTGGCTTAAGCTCCACAAGGTTCAATTCCTGTGTGCTGCAACTTTCCCAGCAGTCAGGCCTTCATTCCCCTGCACCTTCACAGATCTGTCCTTCCCCCCAGCTGTTTGTAGAGCAGATCGAATTGGTGGCACTTAGTATTCATAGCTGCACTAGTCTTCTCTGTTGCTGATAGTGGAAGTGTAAAAGTCTCTTTTTTGGTTTTAGTTCTGGTTATTGTGATTCAGAGACTGCATTTTTCTGAGGTAACTTGATTGCATTTCTTGGTTGGGATCTTATCCCTTTTTGGAGCAGCTTCACAGAACCAAAACAATCAGAAGCAGGCACGCAGTATTTACGTCAAATAATACTTCTGAATAAAAGAGGTTGTGCCATAAAACAACTGTTTCCTAACTGATCACAGGTAATAGTAAAGGCAAGAATAACACAGTTTTCTATTGTGTGAAGTCAGCGTGTCCTGTTTAGTCAGCATTTGAAGCTTCTGGCTCAGGTTCAGCTTCCTACTGAGCATGGCATTGGTGCCATGGTAGCAGGAATGGGTGTAGAGACCCCTTCTGAATGGGAAGACCTTAGGGAGCTACAGTTGTAAATGTCACTTGACAGGAATCTATACATTGCTATCAACATCTGATACACAAATGCTACTCAGTGCTGTCTCAGCAAAGCATAAAACAGTTGCTTAACATCAATTTCTCCATGATACTTCTTTTACAAGAACAGCTATCCCGTTTAACTATGTTTCTTTCCTTATAGGGGTGGTTTTCAGTGAGCCAGATCTTTAAATACTTGGTACTATTCTTATTTTAGCCTGCTCTCTGCTTAACCTGTCAGTATAAAATTTCAAGACAGTCTTTGTTATAAATGAAGTCTCATCTCAATCTGAATTTAGTAATATTTATAAAAGAATATTTATAAATGGTATAAAAGGCAAGTAAACAGTGCTGAGTGTGCAGGGAGTCTACGCTCCACCAACACACACACACGAACATCAAACGTTCTAAATATATAGAACATTGATTTTACATACTAAACCCGAATATGCCTATACATATGTACAATCAGAAAAGGTAACAAACAATCCTTTAAGTTCCATGACTTCACAGTCTTCATTTTCAATTCCTTTTCTTGATTACAAACAACAGTCTCCATCTTCCATTCCTTTTGAACAATATGTCTTGCTTTAAGTTGTCAAACAACTTGGCCTTTGGGCCCTAGGTATCCTGTTCTTCCCTGATCGAAGAAAAGCTTATCCATCTCCTTTTCAAGGCCAAATAGGGCCTGGGTCAAAAGACACCTCCAGGTCACCAGGTGGTGTAACAGCAAAAGCCTTCGATGGCAGTAGCGGTGGGGGGCCGATGGCATAGCAGTTGGTTCAGTAAAGGAGCCCGCAGCTCCCTCACTTTCTGGCAAACCACACGTTTCTGACTGTGGTCCCAGAGGGCTCTTTAAGGCCTCAGAGATTGCTCGCCAGGTGCTGAGCAAGCCCACTGCAACCTTGTCGTCTTTAGTTGCAGAGTCCCACACCTTGACCTCAATTTGGTCCCATATTTCAGGATCATAAACTGTCTGGTTGTTAATAAGGAGAATAAGCTGTAAGGTTACCAGGACAGTCTTTGTTTCAAAGGACGTATGATTCCCCATAACGTGCAACTGCTTACCAGCGAGAGGCAGTTGCATGCATGGGTCTGCTTCTCTCTGCTTGAGCTTCTTTCCAGCTCCGGTGTGCCATTTCCAGAGACTTTCTGTATTAGCTTCTCTGAGCAGTTTGCTGAGTTTGGCCGAACCTACCTTCATGAGGCAATCAATGTGCCTGTTCCCGTTCTGGTCTCCGTTCTGCTAGCCTGTTCCTTTCCTTTTCATTCCTTCTTTCTGCTTCTTTATTGATGACATAACTTCATAACATCGTGTTGCATTTTTTTTTTTTATCTTGAAGGCAGGCTCCCCTCTTATTCCCTTCACCCCACAGCAGTCCTTTTCAAAAACAACATTTCGTTGATCAAACAATTTTGCAAATAACAACAACGGCAAACACCCAGAAACTTTCATGCCTTAATGGCTGAAGAACAAGCAACCCGAGACTGCATGGAGTCTCCTGAATCACCCTTCTTTGTTCCCTCTAAACTCTTTTACATTCCTGATGGCCTCATCATTAAGAGTCTGATGTTACCATCAACCACAGGGCTCTCGACCCCCATGGCCACACTCCCAAATCTCCCCCTTCTTTATTAACATCAACCATTTTCTTGACACGAATTGCCTCTCCACATATAACAGTCTTGAAGAGAAAATTTTAATTTATTTCATGCCAACTTCCATTCTCTAAAAGACATTCCCCTCTTTTGGGGAATAAATACATCAGTTCACATTCTGAAATTTTGGGTGGTTTTATGGTACTTTTTTGTTGCATTTTGATTGGTAGGTAATCTGTTGTCATTAATTATCTTGCACGTGCAACGGATGCAGATAGCATAAACATATATACGCATATAGCATAAACACAACGCATATAGCATAAACACAGCCACCTGGAACTGAAATGGCAGGATTTGTAGTTTCCTACAAATAGCTTTCCCCTCAGTGGAATTTTTAGTTGTTATACAGTTTGTACTTTCTCTGCAGATCAGTTGCTCAATTATCTTGTCCACAGGACTGTACATGTACAGACAAAACAACTAGAACTTACTGTTTCCTCCACCTACTGGACTATTATGATCCAGTATCTTTTCATAGATATGAGGCAGCCATGAGTCCAATTGTAACTATATAGAAATGTTATCAAACAGCTATGTAAATGTCTACATAGCACCTAAATTAAATGCCTCAGTTATGTGCATCATCTACAGAAATGAGCGTGGTATCATACACACGTGCATGGTATCACACACAAATCATGATACTGTGCAAAAATATATGTGTGTGTGTGTGTACATATTCTAGGCTTCTATCTTTGAATCCTTCCCTAGTCCACTTCTTGGTTACACATTTATCTGTGCAGCACTCGTATTAGTCTATAAAGATTTTCCTTGAGTATAATTACCAGAGAATGGTCAAGTTTTCCAGGTACTTCCTGAATAGATTGGTGTCGTTGTAACAGCCGCTTTAAAGACTATCATCTCAGAAATTATGCAAAAATGTAAGATACAAATTAGACAAGTTTTTAACTAGAGCTTTGCTATGGCAGTCTGAATGTTGTATAGAATGTGGCAGTTCCAAAAAATAGTCTGTTAAATATAAAAACAGTTGTTCACCTGTAACTCAGTTACCCTGTGTTTCTAGACTGCAGCTGATAAAAGTTACAGGATAAAATTCCTGACTTGATGTAAGGAATTTTTAAATATTTAAATGGAAAGAGGTTTTATTTTGAAAATATCAGATAAATCTTGGATATCCTTTGATCTGCCTTTTGAGATTAAAAGTATATATGCTAGTTATAATTAATCAATAATAATATTGCCAATGCTTCTGTAGAAGCAAACAGAGCTTTCCATGTCAAGTCCATATTTACAACAAAACTGTAATGACAATACTCACAATTATGTTTTCCTTACAGTTCATTGTCCAATAGACACAAAGGTTTTTCATTGCTTTACATGGGGAAAACTAGCATCTGCTCCTAAAATGGGGGAATTTTCATATGGAAACAATTTCTTCCACCTGCCTGAATAGAGCAAGCTAGGTTCTTATCACACACGGGCTCTTTGCCCTGCTCTGGCAGTTGGGATTGTCAGAATCTTAGAAGATAAAAACACACTTGTGCTATGTGTATGCTATCAGAAAGGCTCTTTATACTGCCAAAAAATTCAAGCATAACTGGGCATCAAGTCTTATATTTACTATACTCAGCCTAGTTTATGTCGATTCCCATGAAGAGGTCATTGTCTTATTACTTTGTCGTAAACAAAATGCTCTTTTGAGATGTTAATCCGTGATGTTTTTGGAGTAAGTATCCATGGATACAGGATACTTTGAAGACTTCAAGGAATTGGGAACACACTGTTAAATGTGTCTCAGTGGTGTTAATCATCAATAATTAGATCTACCTTTTCTTTGCTTACTTTTGAAAGCAAAGATCTTGATAATTAATTAAGTGTAATGTATGTGGTTAATATGATGATAAAGTCTAAGGCTCTTCTAACAATTTTTAGGAAAGATGGATCAAAAGAGCCAATAGTGGAAATGAGAACAGAGGATGAAAGAATTACCAATCATGAAGATGGAAGTCCAGTAAATGAGCCAAACGAGACAACTCCCCTCACAGAACCAGAGTAAGTAGCTTGATTTTCCCCAGAGTCTGACACGGACTCCTCCTAGCTACAAGGCTGACTTCAAGATGGGAGGGAGAGAGGTACACAACAACCTTGTACAGCAACAGTGCAGTTCACTGGTGTGATTTTTTTTTATTTTTTTTTTACAGTAGTCACACAAAAACATGGTACCCCTAATGCAACAGCCAAGGTTATCACCAGATACTTCTCTCTCCTTTCCGTGACCCAGACTACAACCACGTCCTAGTGTTATCCAGCCCCAGGATGGCAACACCACTATAGTGGGAGTTCTCCAGCATACCTGGAGGTTAGCAAGTATCCAGGGAAATTTTCTGGCCCTCCCTGCTGCCCTGACCCTTGTGGTGCTCATTCTCTGCTCTGGATGAAGACAGACCTGATGCCAGCACCCAGGAGGCACAGGCAGCCCTGCCCTGCCCTCACTGCCCCATAGCACCCCTGCCCATGGCCCATCATCTCCAGGCTCCTCAGCAGCCCATGCCTGGCCCTGATGGGATGTGGGCCCACACACCACTGCTGCCCCAGCTCTGCCCACAATGCTGAGGGGCTGGAGGGTGAACACTGAAGGGCCTGTTCATCAAACGGTACAGAGCCCCGATCTTTGATGGAGTTACAGCGTATTTTTTAACAAGATAGAATCTTTTTGTAGGACAGTCCCTTTCTCTTTAATCTTCTGAAAAATACTTAGAATTTGTATTGGGGGGTTCTACAGAGAACCTGGTTATCTAAGAAGTCATAGTAATGTAGCTATAAACATTATACAAACTCTGGTGGGTTTTGGATATGTTAGCAGCTTAGGCACCAGTGCCAAATTGTTTAATATCTTCAAGACTAACTGTTGAACCAGATCTTGCAAATACATAAGATGCATTTCCCAAGGGACACAATACAAGGAAAAATTAAGTTTGCTTCTTTCCATTTCTCCCAGTCATTAGAACAGCTGTCAGGAGTGAAAACTAGAAAGTGAAGATCAAAAATGTTTTATTATCTTAATGGGGGGAAAATAATCAGTCACTGGTGGCAGGAAAAATAGCTAAATCTTTGGGACAACTGATTAGGAGTTAGATGGGTATCATGTCCCTGGGAGAATAGGACTGCTGAAAGATATTAATAATGATGACTCTTTCTTTCTTGGCAATTTCTTCTCTGACAATTAATGGCAAAAGGCAGCAGTGCAAGGCACAGCTGGATGGAGGTCAGATGGGTTAGCTAAAGATTCAGGACAGTGTCACTTACAAAACCAAAGATGAAACAAGAAAACATCATGCAGGCAGGACATCTGAAGGGACACTGGTTCTGGGGGAGCACTGCAAGACCTGCTTACACTAGTCATAACAGATGAGACAGAGAAGAAATATAAGTTGCAGATGAGGTGCCACTGAAGGAAAGGAAGATGCAATAGGGTAGAAGTCTCTAGGTGAGAGTAACACACAAGCACACTGTGAACAACAGGTTATCATCCAGGTCATACCCCAGGGAGGGGCAAAGATGACCAGCAGGGATCATGGAGCAAAGAACTTAGCTTGTAGGAGGGAGGAGTTTGAAGGGTCAATCAGAAAGTATTCATAGAGAGAGACAGGAATGTCCTATGTATCTGAGGAAAAATATTTCAGGATAAGAGATCTGTCTATGCGATACCTGTCTCTTGACCACAGAGTCAGCCTAACTCTGTGCCTAACTTTCAGGAAGACTTTTTTTTTTTTTTTTTTTCCATTAAGAAACATAAATCCAGGCCCTATGTTACTTTACAGAATGGTAGAATATTCTGAGTTGGAAGGAACCTACAAGAATCATTTGAAGTCCAACTCCTGGCTCCACATAGGTCTACCCAAAAATCAGACCATGTGTCTGAAAGCACTGTCCAAACACTCCTAGAACTCCAGCAGGCTCACTGCTATGACCACTGCCCTGGGGAGCCTGTCCCAGTGCCCGACCACCCTCTGGATGCAGAACCTTTTCCTAACACCCAGCCTGACCCTCCACTGTCCAAGCTCCATGCCGTTCCCTCGGGTCCTGTCACTGTCCCCAGTGTGCTGTCCCACACGGTACTCAAGGTGAGGCCATGCCAACACAGAGCAGAACAGGACAGTCACTTCCCATGACCAACTAGCAATGCTATGCTTGATGCACCCAAAGACACTTTGAATAATAACATAATGATACTCAGATATTTAAATGCAATTTAAGCATTTTTGTTAAATAATTAATAAAAGGATTATTTTGTTTTACAATAGTGGAATATTTTTGTTACATTACTCAGCATATTACTCAGTAATCTTTATTTATTTTAACTCAGATGATTCTGTTAAAGCCATATTTGGAATCCATTTGTGATAGATTAGCAAAAAGCATTTTTACCTGAAAGTAACAAGTTCTAATCATACTATCAGAAAATCAATTTAAGCTGTGCATTTCTTATTATATTTCTGTAATATGATGAAAATGCCACATGCAGCACAGTACTATAATTACATTCTTAGTCTGATATTATATTTCTAGTATTGATGGAGTTTTACTTAGTATTAATGAATCTGTGTGAATTTTAGTATCAGAATAGGTTGGAGTCATTTTCTTATAAAATAGTCATCTAACAGGGAAGTAAATATTCTAGTTAAAGCCTTGTGTCGGTACTGTCGGCAGAGTGTTGTAGTTTTAGGCCACTTGCAGTGTTAGGGGAAGTAAATATTATTATTGATTGATAACAGGCAGTGACTGATAAAAACAAAAGAACCTATTAAAGTTTGCCAGTCTTTTTTTTCCTCCAAAAAGCTTTTACTGTAAAATGCTTTAAGATTTGAAAGAATTACTGTTTTCACAGCTGAAAAATAAAAAAAAAATAAAAATATTTCAAATAGGCATAGATAAACAATAATTAGGTGTAAGAAAACTGATGTAATTTGAACATTTAAACTTGATTTAGTTAATTAAAGCAGGAAATTATTGAATCAGATAATAGAGATTAAATATGAATTAATATTTTAAACAAAGGGATAGGAAAGTTTCAAAACAGCAAAAATGTTGTCATAGTCAAAAGTGTTTAAAAATAATAATAAGGTCAAATAATTCGGTATTGACTTTTTAATGAGGAAAACCTATAAACCTTTTGTTTACTTCTAGGTCACTTTACTGCTCTTCTTGCTGGCATGTAAAGGAAAACTAAAAATCCCTGTTTGCATAAACTAAAAAAAAATCCCTGTTTGCATAAACAGGGATTTCAGTAATATCTGAAACCCTTAGTAGGGTTTTAGCAATATCTTCCTATTTCAAATACTTATAAATTATTTGTGACATGCTCTTAATCTACTTCTCCAAAAGTAATTGATTTAAATTCACACACAAAATATTCTGTCAATTTCTAGTTATTACTTTGAGTAAATAGTCCCTCCCTTTCATAGAATCATGGAATGATTTGGTTGGAAGGGACCTTAAAAAGACCATCCAGTTCCACCCTCCCAGCCATGGGTCGGGACACCTCCCATTAGATCAGATTGCCCAAAGCCCCATCCAGCCTGGCCTTGAATGCTTCCAGGGCATCCACAGCTTCTCTGGGCAAATCTGTTCTAGTGCCTCGCCAACCTTATAGTAAACAATTTATTCCTTATCTCTCTTGGTTTAAAGCCATTATTCTTTGTCCTAGAAGAAATTACTCTCCTTTTATATGAAACTTAATTAAATATGGTGATTTTTTAAAACAGATTGTTTTGCATCATAGGCCTTTAACACGGGTGTGTCTCATAAGCCATGCTTCCTCTGCCACAGTGTTTTATCCTTTTTTAAAAATAGATTTCTGCTGTTACCATTCTTTCAGGTGTCGTGTTGTGGGCTGAAATCTGTTTCCTTTGGTTGTGTCATGTGAAACAAACAATTACTAAAGTCCCTCTGTATTCAATGCCAGACAGCTGATACACATCCTACATATTTTACTATAATAGAACAAGTTAGTCTTCTCTTTGATTTTTTCTTAGATACAGGTTATGCTTACTGTTTAACCTCTTCATAAATAGCAACTTACTAGTTCATTTCAGCCAGCCTAAATATAAGACTGGGAGTTTGGGTATTGCTTTGTTTTATTTATTGTTATCAAACATTGTTATTACAAGACATTCCTAAGGGATTCCTCAGACAGGTTTGCAATAGTATAGTGCTCTTTGGGACATCAAAGCAATCACAGTGGAAGATTACCGAAACATTTTTCATAACATTTGTTATGAATGAAAAAAGACATATGCATACCATTCCCTAGTTAGAAAACAGAAAGCAAACCCAAACTGGAATCAGGATTAACAGCTACTACGCCTGGGAGATATTATTACAGGAACATCTGCCTAAACCATACATATTTTTCACAGATACATTTTGACTGGTAGCAGGGAATCTGATTTTCAAGAAGTCAAGAATGAAATCTGTGTTTTGTCTTTCCTATAAAGTAAGGGTGGGGGACTCTTTTGGCATTGGAATTTAGGGTTTTAAAATAAAAAGGGAATCTTTAGACCATTTCTGAAATTAAAATACTAGCTGAAAGTCTTCATGCATTCAAACATGAACAGCTTTTATCTCAGGGATGAATGTAAGTGGACAGCTTCTTATTGTGCCATTTCTCACAAACTTAGTCTTAAAAAAGTTGTAACTTAGTAAAGCACTTTGCTTCTTTGACCTAGTGAAAATAAATTGTAGAAGTTTGTAAAGAATAACCTCCATTACCTCCTTGAGCTAGAAAACATTATTTCCCTTACCTGTGTCTTGGCATAGCCAATGGTGGATGTCTTCTTTCATATGCAACTGCATTTACAGTTGGAAACAGACAAAAAAATAAATAAATCTAGATTCCACGAAAGACTTGACTTTGTGTGTTTAGCAGTACCTTAACGAACACATAGCTCAGGGTCACGTTCACAGAATTATAGAAGCTGGCTATTTGGCATTCTATTATTTATTCTGTCATATTGAAGAAACTATTTTGGGCAGCAACAATGTGCTTATCATATGCCATTTAGCTTTTTCTGTCTTTACAGAATTCTGGAAAGAATTGATATGAATTATTTTGAGAGTAAGAACACTAATACTCAAAGCAATTGTAAATTATTTCAGTTAAGTATGTTTTTATAAACACTATGGGCTGTATTAACAATGTACATACTGTAGACTTAAATTCCAGATGATGTGTTGTGTTTTGTAACTACCATGATTTCTCCTTTCTTCTGATAGGAAGCTGCCACTAAAGGAAGAAAATGGAAAAGAAGCTTTAAATCCAGAAACCATAGAAATCAAAGTTGCTAATGACATCATCCAGTCAAAAGAAGATGATAGCAAAGCATAGAAAGATAAACTACAGCTATCTGGATAATACATTTGGATTGAAGCAACCCCATGACCAAAACTTTACACTGACCTTAATTTCTTGGGAAACTTAAGCTTGGAATAGTTAGTACATGTGTACATATGATGAAACAGTTTCTGTCTACAGTTCCTTTCTATTTTTTTGTTTTGTTTTGTTAATGGTTTTAGTATGTAGGTTTGCTGACACCAAGTCCCATGGTATACATTTGAAAAATCTTCAGAATAAGAACTGTAATTTATTATATGAAAAAAGTATGTCTATTTAGAAGAATACTTTGCAAAGCACCCCTAACCACACATCAGGTCTCTGGATCTTACAGTGCGAGCTACATACATAAAGTGCCATATATTATTGTATTTGTTTCCATTTATAATAAAGCAAAAGTTTAGGTTGCCTTTAAAAAAAAAGAAGTCTCAGTACAATATTTAAGACCTTGGCACTGGCAGACACTCAGTAGTCATTCAAGCTGTGCATATCACTTGAAACAAAACAAAATAAAAACCAGACCGTCTTCAACAGCACAGAGCCAGCTACACCTGCAGTTTCACCTGGGTTTTCTAGTACAATAGCAAACAAATGACAACCATGATGTACAGATTTAAAACAAAATGGCTGAATTTTGTGGAAGTATATTGGTCTCATCCTAACTATGTGAGCATAATTCTGAAAGGCCCCAAGATTTTCAGAATGTCCAGTTTTCTATATTAATGTTTGGAAGGTTGTATGTAAACTGGAATGCAGGAAATGTGCAAAAAGTAAACTCGTTTTTGGTAACTTGTGGCTTCAAATGAAACCTTATAACACAAGCTCGCATTAGTTTCCCCAATGTATTTATTATACAGTATTCATTCTTCTTTTAGTTACAACCATTTAATCAAGGGATAAACTGTATTTTATGGTAGTAGATATATTTTCACCACAAATCAGTATGTGAAATATTTAAACTTGAGCTTATTAAAGAAGCACTTCTTACGTTATGATTTCATATCTTTTGTCATATCAAGAAACAAAAGAACAGATGGTAAGAAGGACTTTGGCTAAATGGTTAGTAACATTTTAAATTTTTAATGAGTAACATCTTGTATGAGGCCAAATATATATATTTTTTTTTCCTATCAAGCACTCTTTAAGATAATCTTTTTTTATTATTCAGGCTAATATGCACTACTTGAAAATTTGGCTAATTTATTTGATGAAAAATTCATTCTTATTATTATTGATTTAATGGTGTCACTAATATGAGTAATACATTTTGTTTCCATTTCAGCACAGTGTATCCACACCTACCAAATTGTTCAAATTCTTGCTTTGGAAAGAGTAGATAAATCATATAGGATACTAGAGTAGAAAATTTTACTTGGTGGGATTAAATTGTAGAGTACTTTTTGGATTCTCCACATCTAAGTCATGAGGTTTAACTGTAGCCTTACTCGGCAAATTATGTCTTCTCCATGCTATATCTAAATTTATCTCATATTTGCAGTACGTAAACTGCCTAATTTCACAAAGAATGTTATCAACTCTTTGCTGATATTTTGTAGTAATGGCAAAGTGTTTGACTTCTGTGCAGCAAAGCCAAAATTGAAAAGTAAAAGAATGTCTTTAAATTTGGGGAAAATGACAGGTTAACCTTCTTGTTAACCCAATCATTAGTGCTTTTGAAAGAGTTAATGAGGACATAGTTAATTTATGTATCTTTCTTATTTTTCAATCCCAACTAATATTTTTTTTTCCCAACTTTTCCTTGCCTTGGGAAAAAAAGATACAATGAACCAAGTATTGAAGACAGAGGCATAATGCTGGTGTGGCTAGGATAAGAGGCCAAGTTCCCACAAAAAACAAAGCGAAAAGAATGGGTTACAGCAATGTAGGATGAAAGTCATGAAAGAGAACCATTTAAAACTGCTGCAAAGAGGTCTCTTTCAATGCTAAGGCACTACTTCTGGATGAAAGAAAGATGAATATACTCCCTTATGGTCTCTCATTGTTGCTACTATGAACTGTGCAGGCAGTATTACCAAGTAGCTCCTTGCCTGTTAAATTTCTGTCCTGTTTCTTTCTGAGTAAGTACACAATGAGCAGGACTGTCCCCTAATCAATAATTAAGAAAAATGGTTGTCTCGTTTATGTATGTGAATATATATTCTTTCTACAAAGTATGTATATGCAACTGGGCTTTCTCCCTCCATTGACATGCAAGGAAGGGACCTGGAATATTGAAGTAGTTGAATGCAGATGGTGTGGCTTGAACCCACATCATCTCATGCAGTATTTTTACCAAGGTGAGGATGAAGGTAGGAGACCTTCTTTCCTCTTCTATCTGTCAAAACAAGTTTAGGTGATGCTGTACATACTCACATAAGTCAAGGTTCATTAGACAAACAGTGCTTTTTCTGAAGCCAGCACGGTTCCTGTGGGCAGGCCTAATCCTTTCTAGGCTCAACTGTAGTTGTATTTTCAATTTTAGTCCTTTTTCTTCAGACTTATACAAAAGACTTTCATGGCCTAACATCTATAGGTTGGTCGGTGGTGGTGTTTTTTTTTTTTTGTTTGTTTTGTTTTGTTTTTTGGAGGGGGGAGTTGTTTATTATTTTTATTATTATTTTTAAATATATGGCTTCTAATTATAATGTGAAAGGATTGGAAGATTTAAAAGGTCTCTTCAGCACATTTAGTATTAATACTCCTGTCCTACTCTTCACAAGTTAAATATACAGCAAAATTATTCCAATAAGGGAAGCAGAAGCAGTTCCCAGTATATTGGATTACAATATATTTATTTTCTTCCTGCTGTAATGTCTATTGCCAATTAGGCTGAGAATTTAACAGTTCAAAATTATTGGCATACTGCTCCAAGAATGCCTTTTCATCTGTGGACTAATATGTTATCTCTTGTGTTTTGACTATGATGAAAAGAAAGATGGCTTTTTATGAAGAAAGCCAAACTATAACTATAACAGGATGCTCAAAAACACTGATATTTGCAAGTATTTCCAAATGAGGGACAGTGCATAGTAATTTGTAAGGTATGTGTAGAACTGGAGTAACATCATTTCTTTATTTTTTCCTAATCTAGACTAAAAAGAAAAGAAAAAAAAAAAAAAGGTATCTGTATAAGTGTCACTTTTACTGTCTAAAAGTAATTTTAAGTGTTAGTATGAAATGTCAGAAGAGTTGGCAGAATATAACTACTTTTAAAAGTAATCTGAATGGTTATACTAACATACTCCAGGGAGAAGCATGGGAGGGAGCTATTGAAACTATGGACAAAATGGAATGTGGCAGTGACAATCCATTCAACAAAAAATAAGGAGTAAAATTAAGCAAAATGACTTAAATCTTATTATTATTAGTAGTAGTAGTAAAAATACATTCTGATTTACCACAATAGTAACAAAACAATAAAAAATTAATGTTTTACAATTTAGTATACAGATGTACTATGGAGAGTTCTTGTTTTTTGTTCTGGTTTTCTTTCCTATTTTATTTTATTTTAGTTTTTACTTATATGGTATTTGTTTCTTTTTCTGGTTGCTTTTGTTGTTTTGTTTTTCGGTTGTTTTGTGGTTGCAGAAATATTTACGATTCTGGTGATGCTAATGCCTAGCATTATAATGTGACAAAGTTTAATTTATTTAGGCCTCAGTCTTGCAAGAAGTTTTGTGTGGCTGAACCCACTACTCGTATGTAACCCTACTGGCACCAGTGGGGTCAGTGTGAGCAGGAGGATGTCCTTTCACGTAAAAGCTTGCAGGATTGGGTTGACATATCTCTTCATAGATATATACAACATATTTACACAGTGACAGTCATATACAAAGGCTGTTTGACAGCAGTCCGTGGTATAGTAAATTCCACCTGCTGTCTTCAGCCTCTGCATTGATGTTCATCCAAAAAAGTGGATTTCTTTTTATGATGGTAATTATTTATTTAAGTGCCAATCATTAAACTGTAGTATAATAATCACACCATTTTTTCTGTTTCCTAGACCAGATAATGGAAATGTATTTGTGCCTTTTGATAGCATGCCACTCTACTTTATTAAAGAAAAAAAATCTTCAATAATTTGTCTACAAAGCCTGTTTAAAGTATTTGAAAGCTTTATCATGACATACTTTTCTGCTCAGATATGCTCAAATACTCATCTAAAGTAAACTGGAGATAATATTTGCAATTCACGTAAATATTTTAAACACAAAATTTACTATTGAGATCACAATTGTAGTGAGGGTTTTATATGGGTGTGTTACTGCTGAAAATATTCAAGTAGATGGAGCACATGGAGAGTAAGTAGGGGTGTTTTGAAGTTGACAAGTCAGATAGAAAGTCTCCTTAGTTCTATTTAGGCAGTTAGACCTCAAATATTAACATCTTTGCTCAAATCTGGAAGATGATGAGGAACATCTTCCCACCATTTTACCTCTGGAGTAAAACTGCAGTGAATATTTGTTTTGCAGCCATTTATGGCCTCACCATCTCTGTGTAAACTGTCATAGGAAGTAATAATATCTTTGCTGAGTAATGTTGTGTCTGCTGGGTGATATTTACTCCTGATTAAAGAGCCTCCAAAAAAATTTGACTGAAAATGTCAAGACCCTACTTAGTCCAGTTAATTTATGGAGGGGTGCAGAGAATGCTACAAGAAGGGCCCCAGAAGAGCTCAAGTCTCACTGGGGTTTAGGACAAAAACTTATTTCAGTGGGGCCTGAATTTCATCCCCTCATCTCAGTGAGGCTCCACATGTCCTCATCCCATCACATCACCTTTGTGAGCGGACACCTTGGTGTGAGTGGAATTTAAATGTCTTGATAGGCTCCTGCTAACATTTTGCACAGGGAAGGCTTGTCTATCAGGAGTTTGCAGTGATCAGAAAGCATGGATAAAGATATCTGATCATGGTTTTATCCCATACATTAGTATGTGCCCAGAATTAAGTAAAACATCCCTCTAATTAATTCACTGTGGTTGCAATACTTTAGGTAAAGATGAAAACATTCTAGGAAGTATTGTCTCTTCTTAAATCAGTTTGTTTAACTTCAGATAGTTGTGCTGATCCATGCAAAGCTACCATAGTTAAATGATTTAAAAAAAAAAAAATGGTTCTATCCCCTTTTTCAGTTTTTTTCGTATTATTTCCTGGAGTACCCAATCCACTTGACAGCAGAGCTGTAGTGGTAGGGGAAAATACTCACTAAACTTTAAGTGATCTTCAATATTTCTACTCAACATATAAATGTGTTCTTAAATCATTTCATTTGAACCTGAACCAGAAAGAAACCTTTCTACTACAAATTTGACTTTGGACCAGGTTCTGAGAAGTCACAGTTTACTTGTCTCCCTCTCCTCTTAACAGGCATTGTGAACTTCATGATGTTTGACTTTCAAACTTGAATATTGGCCATTTTTAGCCCAGAGAAATTAAATAGATATTTATTGCCAAATTTATATTGGCAGTTTTACGTCACAGGTGAGATTGGGAGTGGGCAAGATGACCAGCTGCAGTGCTGGCAGAATTAAGGAAAGCTACCAAAGAGAGAACAGGTGCAAGAGAGTGAGCTGTGAGAGTGCTCAAAAACTGGGAGATCCTATAGTTAGTAGTGGGGAAAGGAAAGTCGGGAGCTACTAAAAGAAGAGAGGCTGCTGCAGACTGTGAGAACTAGAGAATGGGCAGTGTAACTAGAGAATGGGATGCAGTCCTACTGCATCCTTCAGGTCTGCTGTGTAAGTAGGCTGCATTTTTAAATCTAAAATGTAGGGTTCAGAAAAGAGGAAAGAAGCCCTTGGGGTCTCTACAGGTTGGTGACAGACATATAAAGCAATCAGATTCCCCATGAAGATAAATTTCTTTGCTCATGGTGTAAAGTTCTCACAAAGAATTTTGAGCAAAGAATTTTGACAAGATTAAAAAAAAAAAAAAAAAAGCTTTCCTGCTACAATGAGCACTCAGTATGTATTTGTATGCTGTGTACAGTATAAGCTAAAGCATACCATATATTGTTTTTGTTATTCCACATGTTGTTAACAGCCCACTTGCGATATATACCACCTGAATTATATATTGATAAGTTAGCTACCACCGGAGCTAGTTTGTTTATTGTTTCAAAACCTTATGTCCCTATGAAATGCTGTGTATATATATATATCTCTATACTGTAAAAAGAAGTAATATCGCAGATGATGGTTTTGTATTTATGAAAGACATTGAAAGTATGGCTTAAAGTATATCAATTATTTGTCACTCTTCACCATTTGTATATTAATAGTAAAGATACTTTTACTTTAATGAAGTGTTGTAGTTTATATTTCTTTTTGCTAAGTGTCTTTCTGTCAAGGATGTCTGATTCATTAGGAGAATTATTGCCAAAAAGCATATAAATTATTTATTTTCCCCCCATTATAGAAGTGCTGAATAATACTCAAGCAGATATGCAATTTATTATTCTCTTTTCTGTCATAATACATCATTGTTATTAAAAACTATTATTGTAACATCCTGAGTCTCCAGCAGCATTTGAGGCTAAGAAAATTCTTTTCCCAAAGAATAAGTGCAACATTTTAAAGGTATTTAGTATATCCTAGAAAAAAGATGTTGTCATCAAAAGCTAACTTGCTCTGCCAAAGTTTGAGCCTTCCAAAAGGTTTGTAATTATGTCAGCAGTGCCAGGTCATAACAGGCTGGGCATAGTCTGCCATGAAGTGGGCTTTTATTTCATTGTTGATTTGTATCCATCAGAGATAGAGGATGAGTGAAGCACGTTCCAGACAGTACTGTTTAGCCACTTTTCTAAATTGGCAGAGCAGCAGTCATGCCCTCTGTTTTGCTAGTGCTGAAATTCTAAATTCCCAAAGAAACTTGCTAGATTGTGTATTAGTGCCTAAGTTTCAGCTTTCTGAATGCAACCTAAGCTCTAACTAACTATATGAGCCAAAGGATTGAGGGGGCCATACATAGGAGGAAAAGTTTTGCACAACAGTGTCCTCATAGCTTTACCTTCTTCATTCCTTAAGCTCTGGTATAAACATATGTCTTAGCCATGTGCTTGCTTAAGTGTGAGTGACAACATCAACAGCTGGCAGAATGGTCTCCATGTTGTATTGAAAAACTCAGCCTGAGAGAATTGATTTTAGTTAACATCAGTGTGCCACTGAAAGTTTTTTTTTTATTTATTTATTTTTGTGTTTAGGTATGTGCCTTGCTCAGAAAAAAAAACAGATTTCATCAAATGGTGCATAAATTCAGTTCAGGCATCTCAATAGTTATCTGCTCAGTGCACTGATGGCAAGATAAATTTACAGATGAACGGTAAATACAACTATTGTGAATGACTAATTATACAAAGATAATGTCTGACACCTTCAGAAACAATCAACTTTTTTTTTTTTTTAATTCAGCCTTGATGCTATACATCCTGCACTGGTGTATTTCAGACTTGCTACTCAAAATACAAGAAAAAATATTTAAAAGTGTTTTCAGATACCCTGATAAAGACAATTTACTTACCCATGTCATTGTTAATAACCTAGACACAGATAACACTGCACCAAAGAAAATAACAAAATGGAAAAAAATGTGTCACGCCTTGTATTCTTGGCTAAGCAAAAGATAGCTAGTTTTCTCATTTGGGCCCTGGCAGAGCATGATAAACTATATCTGTAAGCTCATTGCTATGTGGAAAATGCTTATGCTTGAGGATGTGGTTTAAACTTCCTTAGTCATTTATTAAACGTTATCAAAAAAAAAAAAAAAGTGTAAAATTTAAATTTCAGCAATTAATTTCTTTCACAATCAGTACCAATATAAAATATTGTCAACAGTGTTACTGGAAAAGCAGTATAAAATACATACGGCAGTAGATTGATCAGGTCAGGCAGTGAATTTTTAAAATCCATTCATGCACTCTAATGAGAAGATGAACAAAAAGTTTTGATTTAAAGACGAGGTTTTTTTTTTTTTCTATTAAGCAAAGTCCATCTCTTAGTCCAACTAACGATGGACAAATTATATCTCATTATTTTCAAATGGAAAAAAAAAAAGCAGTTTTGTTGTCCTAGTTCAGGACATAATAAACAAATTTTACTTTGGCACAATTTTATCATGGGGGGATGAAATTTATCATTTATTTATATCTGAAGGGCTAAATCATCTTTAACCACTCAAAACATTCTATGGACTTCTGAGACACTTTCCAAAACAAGTAAAAAAAAAAAAAAAAAGAAGTTTTTGAAACAATTGCTTTCAAATAGATTTGAGAATTACTGATATCTTTAAAAATAATATATATATGTGAAATGTAATGACTTTTTGCACATAGTGTACTGTAAGTTTAATAAAAAGTTCACTTGCAATGCAATTTAAACTATCAAGTAGGGCAGAATGAAACTGATGATGTATATTATGTGGTTTCCTATGCAAAGCTTTTCATTTTAGAGGAGCTTTGTAATGAAGCCATACCCTAGTGGGATGCAAGTGTTAATTGTTACACTGGAGCAATGCTTATGACTTCTTGGTATTCATGACGTGCCCTGCTGCAGTGTTTTGTTCTGTCCTTGTATGTATAAAGTATATATTTAGTGGAAAGTAGTCTCTTTTGAAAATTAAAGATATTCCATCTGTAAAATATGATTTTGTGTCTGTGAGTGAAGGAAAACAAATAAACACCACTTGCATAACCTGGTGACATAATATACAGCTGTAATATCACTGCCATGTATACTGTCAACTATATTCTTCAACAAGACAACATAAACCCCTTAAGCTGAAACACACTATGACCATCTGAAGGATCTCTGTTGTTGGCTTGTGCTGAAGGATGGGGACCTAAAAATGCTGCAACTGTAACAAAGTGTTTGATTATTTCCTGTGAGCTTGATTGTCAGTCTGGAACTGATGTGGATCCCACTCGGTATCGCCTGGATAAGGGCACGTCAGGGAAGCAGTAATGAAGAGACATAAGAGTCATTGAAAGCAATCCATCACTTACTGATGAATTTACTGCTAGCACCACTAATGCAAAAAAAAAAAAAAAAAAGAATTTAAAAGTTAGTATTGGATTTCTCTGATATTGAAAGATAACCCTGTGAAGGTGCTATAAGGGCTGGCAGATCCCTGGGACTGGGGCACCAGGGCCTGGAGGCAGGTCCTGTCCCATGGCCTAGCCTGCAGTGGGGCACCAAGGGCACAGGGGCAGCCTCAGCACCAGGCACCTCCCTGGGGCAGTGGTCAGCTTGAAACTGGACATGCCCAGGGCAGGGCTGTGGGGAGCTGGAGCCTGGCCCTGCTGTGGCCTCAGCGGGGCAGGGGCTGGTGGTCCAAGGACTGCTGTGGGGGCCTGGGCCTGGGCCAGGGCAGGTGGGGGAGCCCAGAGGGTGGTCAGAGATGGCTGCATCCTCAGGGCCTGGGAAGTTGAGTGGAAGTTCACAGGCAGGTAGGAAGTTTATGTACCCTTGGGGTTAAAGACTTAGAAGGAAAAAAAAAATATATTTTGGAGATGAGAATTGTGTAACTGTCAATTGCCAACATTTTAAAGTAGTAAGATGTTGCTCAGATAATTTAGGTCAATCTTTATTTCTCGGTTGATAAAAGTATAGTACTCCAAGTAGATTAATCTGTTTTACCAGATGAATCTTGTTATATTTTGCATTAGGTCCTTGAGAGATAAGCTCCACATAGCTCAGAATTGTCTTCAGTGGAAGAGCAGAAAGCTGCCAGGGAGGCAGGCAAAGCCCGGGACTGGCGTTCAGAAGGTGCCATTTGCACTCCAGGAACTGGCTGCTTGGGCTGAGCAAATCAAGTGCCAGGAGAGAGTAATGTTTCTTTTCCTCTCCTTGTCTGTTTGGTGCTGAAGATTTATGGACCCATTTATCTTACTGATTTCAGTGAGACTACGTGCAATAAATATAAGAACAAGCACAAACTGTTTACAAGATTTAAACCTTAGATTAAATGTGGGTTTTATTTGGTCTCGTGGCAGAGAAGCCTTGCTGCAACTTCACACAGTGTTTGTATGCCTGCATTTGAACACGTTAAAGTGTTCACTTCTTGCAATACAAATTTTACTGATCACTTGGTGAGTACCGAAGTTGTTGCTACTACTTGAGGATGAGGGCATTAACCCAGTCTTGGGCAGAGCACATTTTCAGTGCTCCAGTGCCAGGTCAGACAGCACAGACCCATTACCAGTGGTCGTGATGCTGTTATCTCTGACCAAATTAATTCTGAATTCTTTATCCAATTGTGAAAAACTGAATGTTTATGTCCAGCTCCAAGAACACGTTATCTTGACTGATTATGCTGAGATGTATAACATGACCATGACAGTTCTGCAGTGCAGTCAGTTATTTATACGTGAAAATGAAATTACAGTTTGGCTTATATAGACATATAATATTATATTATTATTATATTAGACATATAATATTATATTATTATAATATTATATTATTATATGTCTATAATTATATAGACAATACATGTATATAGACAATTTCTTCCCTATAGCAGAACATCTAGCTTTCCCTAGAAAAAATGAAGTAACATAACAGACAACAAATGAAAACACTAACTTAGTAGCAGTATTTCCAAACACATTTGTACTGAAAACATCCTTAACTACATGTAATTGCAGAATTAACCTCTTCTAGGATTTTTTTTTCTTCTTGGTAGGTAGGCCCTTTAGAGGATGCCACTCAAGCTTCAAAGGGGTTAAATCAAAGCAAGCCATATGTGGTGATTTTTCAAATAGCTGGTGTTTGCAAGTTCTCTCTTTCCTGGAGGTAGGTATGTTTTGCTGTTTTTAAAGCTTTCTCTTTTGTTTTTAAGAAAATGTGTTATTGTTGGAGTGACTGTAATGGACAGGCTTAGTGTTTATTGGCATTTCTGCAGTATCTTAAGAGTACCAAGCAAGCTGAGGTGGTGAGCAACCATAGTTCTAACCTCAAAAAGTCCATGGTCAACACAGGAAATGGGAGAGGGAAGGAGGGAAAGCTAACATCATAAATCACCAAAAAAAAAAATAAAAATCAGTACTGGGACAATAAATATGTTTAATACTTTTTAATCACATTTCATTCTGAGGAGGAGTAGGTTGAGTGAGGAGATGAGCAGAAAGACTTCAGTAATATGATGTAGAGTTAGGCAAGGAATGTATTATTAGAAGGTTAGTAAGAGAAATGAGAATAAAAGATAGGAGAAGATTATTGAAACCAACATAACTCATTTGGTGGCAGATTTTTTTTTTTTTTTTTAAGTATTGAAAAGCAAGTGATAAAAAGAGATCTCTCATGCTCA